CTTTCAATTTTTTATAAAAATTTTAATCGGACATGCAAATCATATGACAAATGATCTACATCGGACTCTACCCTTAAATAGTATGTTAATTATTTCAACATTATGTAATAATTTTGTAAATACTCTATTAAGCTTTATAATGATTATGATATTTTTCAAGCTAAAAATCAATGATCACATTTTTGCATAACTGCTAATTTGAGTTTAATAGAAAAACTATATAAGAAAAGTTAATAGATACTGAAGAGAAGACTTTTTTCTTTTTAAAACAATTGTACAAGCATAATACTTTCTTTGAGTAATGATCATATTATGAAATAAAGAATTCTTTTGCTTAACCTTATATATTTGGATTTTGCTTTTCTTGTAATATATATAAAAAGAACTAGTTTATTAATTGATGTACTTTTGTCTACTTGTGACTATTAATCTGTTCATATTTTAATGCTAACGACACTGTGCTAAATTGAAAGACAAGAGTAAAGCTCTCCCAAGTCATTACATTTTTAGTCCCAAATGTGTTAACTGAACAAAAGAAGCAAGAGATAAAATTTGTTTATGTTATAGTCACTTAAAGAAATGGTAATACAAACAATAATATAAATAATGACATAAAAAAAAAAAAAAAAAAGGAAAATACAAAAAGGATACAACAATAACAGACAAGTATCACTTGTTAATAAAATATTAGAAAACAATATGAACCTATGGGACAATACTTTGAATTTTACAAGTAATGATAATATGAAAGAATATGATAAATCAGTTGAAAGCAACAATAATCCAACAAATAATAATATGCTATTAGATAAACCTAAACAACCAATAAATCCAACTTATGTAAATTCATCATAGGAATAGCTACTTCAAAACATGATCAACATTTTGGCAAGGCAACAAGGATCTCAATTGAATATGATGAAATGAAATCTTATAAGTATACCAGTTTTTGCTAGAGGTAATCAAGACCCTATAGAGTAGTTAGAAATGGTTAGCAGAGTCTTCAAGACTAATAATATTGTGGGAGTGAGAAGGTTGGCCATTATTAAAGCTTATCTTTCGAGCTTGGCTGCATTCTGGTGAGAAAATAAAAAAAATACAAGACTGAGTTTTCAGTATTGGGATAATGAATATGCTCCTAAGCAAAGTTTTGTACATTAATTTTAGTTTAAGTTTTGTATACAAGCATTGATTACACAATAAAATACTAAGTTATTAACATGACAACAATGTATTGGAAAAATGGTAGATCAATATGCAATTAACATATTAGCATTATTTTAACAAGTAATAAAGTAGGCAATCAATATCCTAAAATAATGAAAGTGCAAATATTCATACAAGAATTTCATTCTGATTTGTCTTTGACTGTAGAACCTTTTATGTTCAACACATTACAAGAAGCTATTGATAGAGCTCAAATATGTGAAATGACCTTTGTGCATAGTCTAGTTGTGTGTGAACCCGCAGCAATATATAATACTATATCTGGCAGTGCTGTGGCCCCTTCAACAATATCTGTGCAGTCTTAAATGCTAATAACAAATTATTTTATAAGTTTCCAATCACTAACCAATATATTAGATACTACTAATAACTTTATAGAGTAGATGATCTCTTTGTTACAAGAAGTAGTAACAGTAGTAAAAGGTAATAATAGCAGTAATAATAATCATTATCACCTAAACAGAGACAGAAACAGTTGTTCTCATGTGTGCTATTTATGTTAACAATCTGGACACTATACCCAAGAGTGTCCAAATGTGAACTGTCTGGTTAATGATAATAAGAATAATCTACTTATGCCTAATGTAAATGATATGAATAATGGTAAAGATAATAATAATAATACACTAATAAATGAAGGAACTAGGACTTAAGCTATGTTATCTCAATTACAAGATAATCTTGAGCATTTAAACTAAAAAACACATCTTTGGAGGATGAGTGTGTGTCAGTATCAAAAAACCTTTCAGTAATCAAAATTGAAGAAGCTTATGTAGTAAAGAGGCAATGAAAGGATGATGATAATCATGACAATGATAAAATTCCTTCTGAAAATTATAATAATAAGAAAAGGTTAAAACCTATCGATTTACTAATCATATCCAATATTTAACTATATTCTATAATATTAAATTTACAGAATAAAAAGACAGACATTACTTATGCTCAATTATTTCAAGTAGCATCTAGAGTTCAAAAAGAAGCCCTAAAAATATTACACTCAGAAAAGATTGTTAAGTCAAAGTTTAATGAATTCTGTCTAGAGTGAAACAATGAATTCTATACTATATCAATATATTGTGAAGCTAATATTAATGAAGAACCAATAATTTTAATCTTAGATAGTAGTTTGTCAGGTTGTATTGTTTTGGCCAGGTTTTTGAAGAAAGTTAACATCTCTATTAATCATCTCTCAATGATGTTAATGGTTGGAATCCATAATGAGCAAAAACAACCATTAAGAAAAATTGATCAGTTTTTGATAACTATGAGTAGTAAGACAATAACTTCACATGCTGTTATAACTGATGTTAGAAATTATACTGTTATCATTGGTAACAATTGGATGAAGAAAGCAAAAGCCCAACTTGATTAAGTAACTTGTGAATTGACAATAAGAGATGGTAATAAGAAGATTAAAGTCTTAACAGAATATTGTAAACTCACAAACATTGCTAACCATGTACAAAAAGAAGCCATGATTCAAAGTTCAAAGACAAGTAGAAATAATAGAAAGTCAGACAAATCTGATAATGATAAGTATAAAAGTAGTGAAAAGTCTGGTGAAAGTAAAGCAGACTCAGATGAGTACAAAAATGAAGTCTTCGTAAATTAGGATTATTTGTTCTGTGAATTTTGCCTAATCACAGAAAAAACAAAGTATATATATAAATATTGTATGAAGAAGAGGCATGATCAGATTAATTGTACTTTGAAAAAGGGAATTCCAAATAAGTAGCCTGTATGCCTTATTGAAGAAAATAAAAAACCAAGTGAAAATTTAAAAATTAGAAAAATATTGCAAGAAAACAAACAATATCTTAAGGAGATACTAAAAAATTATCAAGATCTTTTTGTGAAAGAACTTTATAAACTTAGAAAAACAACTGTAGTATAGCATAAAATTTATATCAATGAAGGTTCTCCTATAAAACAAAGGTTTTACCCTACGTTAAAGCTGAACACAAATTCATTGGTCAGAAAATTCAAAGAATAGAAGAGGTAGGGCTAATTCATCTGTCAAGTAGCCTGTGGATATCTCCAGTAGTACTAGTAAGAAAAAAGAATAGAAAGCTGTGTTTTTGTATTGACTTTAGGAAATTGAACAAGAAAACAAAGCATGATAGCTATCCTCTTTCTTGAATAAATGAGCTTCTAGGTGCCTTGAAAAACTCTACTTGGTTTATGACACTGGACTTGGCAAGTGGTTTCTGACAAGTAGGAATGCATTCTTATGACCAAGAAAAAACAGCATTCATTACTAAATTTAGTCTTTATGAATTTATGGTGATGCCCTTTGGGTTAACAAATGCACTTGCAACATTTTAGAGGCTGATAGATAGAGTTCTAAATAAGAAAATGTTGAAATTTGTACTGGCTTATATTAATAATATTAATATATATTCTCCTAACTTTAAAGAACATTTAGACCATATTGGTATTGTGCTGTCTAGACTCCACAAAGCCAATTTAAAGTTAAACTCTAATAAGTGTTTTTTTGAACAAAAGAAAATCCAGTTTTTGGGTCATAAAATAAGTAGAGAAGAAATTGCTACTGCTGAATCCAAATTAACAGCCATGAAGGACTTTCCAAAACCAAAGAATTTGTGAGTACTAAAAGGGTTTTTGGAACTTGCAGAGTTTTACTGAAGGTTTATAAAAAATTTCTCTACAATAGCTATACTTCTTTACAAACTTATGAAAAAGGATGAACCTTATATATGGAAAAAGGAACAAGAAAGAGCATTTGATGAATTGAAGGTTATGCTAATTACAGCACTGATACAAGTACATCTCAGAGACAATAGGAAGTTTTTGTTGAATACTAACACATTACATGTAGCTCTTGGTGCAATATTAACACAACTTGACAATAAAGTATGTAAATGTATTATTAAATATGCTAGTTGGTCAACTAAACCTGCTGAAAAAAACTATACAATTACAAAACTGGAGTGTACTGCTATTGTTTGAATTGTGAAAAAATTTCATCAATATTTACATAAATCTCAATTTATTTTAATAACTAATCATAATGCTTTAACCTATTTAAACAATATGTCTAATCCTACAGACAGGATGGCACAATACATAATGACTTTACAAGGCTATAACTTTGTGATAAAGTGTAAACCTGAAAAGTAAATATCTAACATTGATGCATTATCAAGAATTACAATAGATTCAAAAGGAAAAATTAAAAATTAAAAAAAATATTATTATTTTTCAGTATTACAGTACAAATAAATTAATATCAAAATTAAACATTTAATAATGCAGGAATAAATTAGATTAATTAATGCTGTTAAAAAAAAATAAAAAAAACTTATAAACAAAAGTATAACAACTTTTAACAAACATAGTAAAAAATAGGCTAACTATGATGAATAGGTGTGGAGACAAGGGCACCTAAAAGCAATACCAATATAAGAGAATATATTCTGATATATTTTAATAAAATGTGATATCATATGACAATTCAAAAATATAAAAGTTTTAGAAAACTGCAATTCAAATGATACTCTTATTTAAATGTTATAATAAAAAAAAAAAAAAAAAAATGGAATTGGAATCTTATACCACTCTAATAAATTACTTGGAGAAGTTTGAAATTTCTTAGAAATATTTAAAGGATAAGATAAAAAAATTAAAAGCCCAGAACAATTTACTTTATACAAGAAGAGATCTTGTATCAAAGAAATAAACAAAACCCAAATAAATTTTTAAGAGTACTGTGAGAGGAGCAAATAGAGTTAGTTCTAAAAGCCTTACATGAAGATCCTGTATCTGAGCATTTAAATGAAAACATAGTTCTTGAGAAGGTGAAAATGAGGTATCACTGAAATCAAATAGTAAATAATATTAGAAAATTTATTCAAAGTTGTGAAGTGTGCCAGTGTTATAGAAAACCTACAAAAAGAAAGCATTATACACAATCAAGGTAACTTAACTGTTTGATCAGATTGGCTTAGATATTGTTAGGCCATTACTCTTAATGAAAAAGAACAATCAGTATTTGGTTGTTGCTGTAGAATATCTTTTAAAATGGCCTGAATCAAGAGCATTATCTGACTGTTCTGCAGAATCTGTCACTGCTTTTGTTTTGGAAGATATAATAAGCTGACATGGATGTCTACATCAAATTCAGTCTGATCAAAGTTCATATTTTGTCAATAAGGTAATAGCAATAGTATATAAAAAGGTTAAGATAAAATATAAGTTATCGATAACATATTATTTACAAAGTAATAGTCTAGTAGAAAGGTATAATAAAACTTTATATAAAGTGTTAGCAAAATGTGTAAGTCAGTTTCATAAAGATTGGAATGATTATTTATCACCTGCATTGTTTATATTAAAAACTGCAAAGCATGATACTACCAAATACAGTCCATTTTATTTATTGTATAGCAGAGAAGCTATTTTACTTGTAGAATTGATGGTAAATACATATCTCATTGATAATTCAAAAGAAAATTAATATGATGTATTGGTTCTTACATGAACTTTCACAATCATCGATAAGTTATTTAAAGCTAGAATTAAAGCTCATGAAAATATTTAAAAGTTACAATGGCAACAAAAATAGCATCATGATCAACAATATTCTTTGCAAATCTTTGAAGTTAGAGATATAGTATTAAGGTATTGGGCAAAATTGACAACATAAATTAGAGGAAAATTGCAAGAAAAATAGATGAGTCTATATCATGTTTATGAAAAACTAGGAAATGGCATCTATAAATTAAAAAATAATGATAAAAGAATCTTAACTCAAGTAGTTCATAGAAATCAACTTAAATAATACATTGGGTGATAGAAGAATAGATCATAGCAAACACAACAGATAATAGACCTATTATTTATTGTAAAAAAATAATAATAATAATAATTTTAGCAAGATTCAAATAGAGCTCATCTTTGAAGAAAAGGAAAATGTTATGAAAAATGTTGTAATAAATTAAATAGTATGTTAATTATTTCAATATTATATAATAATTTCGTAAATACTCTATTAAGCTTTATAATGATTATAACATTTTTCAAGCTAAAAATCAATGATCACATTTTTGTATAACTGCTAATTTGAGTCTAATAGAAAGACTATATAAGAAGAGTTAATAGATATCTGAGAGAAGACTTTTTTCATTTTAAAACAATTGTACAAGCATAATACTTTTATTAGATAATGATCATATTATAAAATAAAGAATTCTCTTGCTTAATCTAATATATTTGAATTTTGCTTTTCTTGTAATATGTATAAAAAGGACTAGTTTATTAATTGATATACTTTTGTCTACTTGTAACTATTAATCTGTTCATATTTTAATGCTAATGACACTGTGCTAAATTGAAAAACAAGAGTAAAGCTCTTCTAAGTTGTTATAACATGTTCTAAACATGATAATAAAAAAGACAAAAAAGAAGAACAAAGAGCTGTAGATACTCTTTTAAGATATGAAAAAGGCATTCAATTCAGTTTCACTCAAAAGTCTAAAGCTGTCTTTACAAAAAGTTAAAATACTTAGGATGATAATCAAGTATATTCTAAACTTTTTTTATAAAAAACAGCTTAAAATAATTATAGCACATGGTCTAATAGAAGAAATAATAGCAGAAGATGAAATAGATAAAGTAAAGTAATATCATCACTAATATGGCAATTTTTCTATGATCCATTACTAGAAAAGATACAGAAAAATCAAAGGTTAGGTTATATAATAGAACAAGAGACTAAAGAAGGAATATATTGCAATAACATCACAAACTACTGCCAAGTAGCAATTGCATATGCAAATAATATGGATTGTTGCTAATAAAAAACAACTGTTAGAGACTTTAAAAATCACAAAAGAGTTCTTCAAAAGAATAATATAGAAATAAATAAATTTAAATCAAAATTGATAATAATAAATAGAAAAGTTAAAAAAAAATAATAATAATAATATTTGAAGAAAACAAGATAATAGAAGAGCTAAGAAACAAGATAGTTCATTCATTAAAAATCTGACTAAACAACAGAATGCAAGAAGTTTTAGTAAGAAAAAAGCAAAAGAAATAATAAACTAGATAATAAGAGACCTTAAGTACAATAAAATAACAATGAACCAAATCATATATATAAATAATATAGTAATAATACCAAAACTAAGTTATATATTGCAATTAATGAAGATATCAAAGAAAATGATAAATTAAATACACTAACCAATAATATGCTTGACAAAACAAAAAAGCAACTTACCAAAAACACTAGAGAACTGCATAATAGAACATAAAGACTTTGGAAGTTGCAGAACTCTGCAACAAGAACTAATGATAAAACAAATAGAAGGCTTAGTAGAAAGACTAAACAAAAAAGATAAACTAGAGCAGCTAACAAAGTTAAAAATAACACAAGGTTGTCAAAAAGTGAGTTTAACAGAAAACATATGAAAACTAAATAAATTGTCAAATAACAAGTCATATTAGAAGAACAATTTAACCTGTCTAACAATAGTTAAAATAAAAAAGTTAGGAATAAACATAAGTACAAAAAGTGAATTATAGACAGTAACTAGTTATGATTCTAGAATAATCAAACTGGTAGAACCACAACTGTAAAAAAAAAGTGGAACCAAAATAAGTGTAATAGGACTAATATACCTAAATTAACTACTCAATATAAAAGAAGAAAAACTAATAACATAACAGCAATTTAAAGATTACTAGAAACAATCGAATAAAGACAACAAGGCAAAGTGGTTCAAGATAATAGAAACAAAAGTGCTAAATAGATCTGAAAACAGAGAAGTTAAAGAGCAATTTAAGACAGACAGATATAACACACAAATAATAAAGATTATACAAGGAAGTCTTTTGAAGAACAAAAAGAAAAAAAAAATTGATAATAACAGTGCAATAGAGGATAGGCAATTGGAAAAAATAGTTAAAAAGAAAAAGAAGAAGCTATTAATAAAACATTGGCAAATGCATAATATAAAAAATAATTAAATAACTAAAATTAACAAATGCAAAAAGTGTACAAGAAAAGAAGAAACACTAGAAAATAGCTGTCAATATTAGATAAAAATCAATAGCAAGATAAATACAGTTTTAGATGCATTAATAGAGAAAAATAACAATATAATTAAGGCAGCTACTGACTAACTAATAGAATATTTAAAAACAGAAGAGTTGAAAGAAAATAAACAAAAGTTAACAGAACTTAAAATGTTAGAAGGTTTAGAAATAGAGTTAGTTAGAAAACAAAAATTGAAAGAAAACATTAGTCAAGAGTTAGTAGAGATTTTAAAAAGAAATATATTAAGAGACAAAGATAAATACACAATATATACAAATGGTATAGCAAATAAAAGAAACAAAAAAGAGATAATAGATAGAAATATAGATATAGAATAAGTACAAGCAAGTAATGCACAAGATTGGTCAAAAGAGAAGGTAGCATTAGAAGTAAAAAGATGCTTTACATCTATAACAGCTAAGATATTAGCAATATAGGTAGCAGTTTTAACAATATCAAAAAAGAAAAAACTAGAAATATTTATAAATAGCAATGTAGCAATTAGGAACATTAGTAAAGGCTTAGCATATATAGATAGAAATGAAGTTCTTAAGAGAAAAAATATGCTATAGGTATTGAAGATAACTAATATAATTAGAACAAAAAGCATATAGATAGAGTAAATCAAAGTAAAAAATCATAGTAGAAACAAATGAAATAATAAAGCTAATAGTTTTGCAAAAAAGAAAACATTAAGCAGAAAGATAATTTTTTCAGAAGAAGTTAGCTATAAAGAAATAGAGTACTGTCTAGAGTAAGAAAACAAATAAATAAACTTACTGGCAAGACTTCTATGCAAAATAGTAACAAATACCAAATTGGAAATAGAGTAAAAGGAAACAACAGTAATCAAGAATATAGAACCAATAACAGAGGCAACAATTTACAATTGAATATACTTTTAAAAAAGGCTAAAATTATCTAAAAGAATATACTATTTGACAAGAAAAAGCAATGCAAGAAATGTTTTTATGAAATGTATATTAGACAAACTTCTGACTTTGGAAGAACTTAACAGAAGAAGGCCAGATATATATACAATAGCAGAATGTCAAATCTGACAAAACAAAGCCAAAGAAACACAAAAACATTTAGCATATTGTAAGAGACAAACAAACTTGTAAAAAAGAATACAAAAAGTATCAATCACAATAGCATAAAAAAGTTTAAAGAAGAAAAAAAAATTCAAGTCTCTTCTTATGTATTATATATAGTACTTTTTGAAAAAACAGAAAAAAATAAAATAGAAATTAAAAAAGCACTAATTAAAGGCCTAATCCCAAAAGCAACTTAAGACAGACTATTACAACTTTTGAGTACAAAAACAAGACAACAATTTATAAATATAGTAGCAAAAGCAGCATAGAACATATTTTATAAACAAGTCTGAAGAATACATTATGAAAAAGTTAAAATATAAGAAAAAAAAAGAGGAATAATAAGTAAAGTAAAGAAAGGAAAACAGAAAAAAAAGAAAATTCAAGCAAGAAGAGAAAGGCTAGTTAGCAAGAAATAGAAAAGAAAAAAGAAAAACTAAAAAAAAAAAGAAACCAAATTAAAAAAAAAGGTAAAAAAACAATTTAGAAGCTTATTATAAAAAGAAAATAATGTTACAAAAAAGATCGATGATCTTTCTCTCCTGACCACTTGCGTTTAGGGTTGAGAGTAATTTAGAAGTGACAAAATTAACCTATCTAAAAGTTCTTTTCTTTTTAAAAACAGTATTGGAACAGAGGCACCTCTCTTTGTTTCTAAGAAATGTAGTACTTCTACTATTGAAGCTCACAAATACAAAAGAATTAAGTCCTTTAACTATACCAACATGGAAAAACTTACTGCTTACAACAAAAAAGGTTCTTACTCTAAAGTGAATATTACAACAGCAAGCAGTAATCCAACTGCTTCAGAAACTTCTGCACAACAAGACATCAGTGACAATAGCATACTTAGTTGGAATGAACAAGTCTTACTAGAAAATACAGAAAGCTTCTCAAATAGAAGAGAAGACCAAAACAATGAACTAGACACGTCTGCTTATGAGACACGTAATGAAGAACCTAACAATAATGAAAGCCCAGTTCTAACAACAACAATATGCGTTAACCCATATGTGATGTCCTCAACAGACTTGAGTTCATCTAAAGTAAACAAAAGCAAAGAAACCTCAAACAGGACCTGGACTAGTCTCTTTGCTAAAGTCAAAAGAGGACAGTCAACTTTTTCTTCTTTCTCTCCAAGAAATAATATAAAATCAAGAAATGATAATGCTCTTATTTTAGATATTCAATATCTAACTGGCTTACTAAATGAAATTATGATTTCACTTCATGAAACTGCAGAACATGACATAATTGCAGCTAAGTCACACATCAATAGAGGTACACATACTTACTTGGAATTAGTTTTCTCTAACAAAGAAAAACTGAAGCATTATGCTTCCAAAAGAATACAAATCTTTAACAGAACATATTATAGCTATATTCCTTCTAATGCAAGAAGATCCTTCCTTTCAATCAAAATCAAAAATGTTCCATTAGGTGATAAAGACATTATCTCAGAAGAAATTAGAGAAACCTTTGATAACATAAGCAAAATTGCCTCAATTAAACTTCTTTTAATTGAGGGCACATCATATTTAACAGATCAATGGATTATTATGTTTGAAACTACTAATGATCTAGAACTAGAAGAAAGAATCCTATGTTTTTATATTCTTATAAATAACAAAATTACCACAGAATGGTGTTTAGCATCAAAACTTTGCTTTTTCTGTGATGAAAAAGGACATATTAAAAAGGAATGTTCTCAATATATACAAGCAATTAAACTCTGACTACAGTACAAAGAGTTTAATGCAAACAAGAAAAAAAGCAGAATTACTTCTTTTGAAAGAGAAGAGGAAAGTTTCAACATACAAGAACAAGAAATTCCTATAGAAGACCTAATCATAAATACAAATCAAACTGAAGAAATCTTTTCAGACAATGCAGAAAAG